GCGATTGCCAGGGCAAATTAATCATTAATCATTAAACACGCTTGTTTTTAAACCATGTGTAATTTTTGCAAAGGTACACTCACCAGAGGTCCTCCCCTGTGTGCCCTCAGGGTCTTGGGTCAGTTCGGGGGTTACTGTTTCCAGGTCCAGGGTGACAAACATATCCTGGCTGTTGGGGTAACTGGTTTCTCCGCTTCCTTGCTGCTGTGAGCTATCTATGTTCTCTCCATCCTCATCTTCCTCGTCCGCCGAACCCGCTTCCCCGTTTGCAGAGAGGGACTCATAGAACACGCTTGGGCTAGTGGTGGCTGCACCCCCTAGAATGGCATGCAGCTCCGCGTAGTAGCGGCATGTTTGCGGCTCTGCCCCGGACCTTCCGTTTGCGTCTCTGACTTTGTGGTAGGCTTGCCTTAGCTCCTTAATTTTCACGCGGCACTGCCGCGCGTCCCTGTTATGGCCTCTGTCCTTCATGGCCTTGGAGATCTTTTCTAATGTTTTGCCGTTTCTTTTACTGTTTCGGAGTTCGGCGAGCACTGCTTCATCTCCCCAGATGGCGATCAGATCCTGTACCTCCCGTTCGGTCCAGGCTGGAGCTCTTCTGCGATCCTGGGACTGGGACTCCATCATGGTTACCTGTGCTGATGGGCTCTGCATGGTCACCTGTGTTCTCCACGCTGAGCAAACAGGAAATGAAATTCAAACGTTCGCGGGGCTTTTCCTGTCTACCTGGCCAGTGCATCTGAGATGAGAGTGCTGTCCAGAGCGGTCACAATGAAGCACTGTGGGATAGCTCCCGGAGGCCAGTAATGTCGAATTCCGTCCACACTAACCCAATTCCGACCCCCTAAGGTCGATTTTATCGCTAATCCCCTTGTCGAGGTGGTGTTAGGAAACCGGTTTAAAGGGCCCTTTAAGTCGACAGAAAGGGCTTCGTAGTGTAAACGTGTCCAGGCTTAAGTCGATTTAACGCGGCTAAAGTCGACCTAAACTCGTAGTGTAGACCAGGCCTAAGAGGCCCGGGGCCAGGAACCTTGATTTAAGGACTAGGAGATTTGACTAATGACGATAAAAATAGTTTTGCAATCTTCATGCAATACGAAAACCGCACAAAAGCATTTAAACTGCAATATCTCCGTATCTTCTCATAACTTATCGAGCACCTTCCAGGCATATCATGAGGCTGAGCCATAAGCAAATGGAACAGTATAGCTCAACCAGCTTAAACTGCTGTCAACCCCAGTATAAGGGACTTATCCTACTAACAATGAAACCAACAGCAACCTCTCTCCTTCCCATTATTGGAAATGCTGTGGTGAAGCACTGGAATGCTTTACCTAGGGAGGTGGTGGAATCTCCTTCCTTGGAGGTTTTTAAGGTCAGGGTTGACAAAGCCCTGGCTGGGATGATTTAGTTGGGAATTGGTCCTGCTTTGAGCAGGGGGTTGGACTAGATGACCTCCTGAGGTCCCTTCCAACCCTGATATTCTATGATTCTTTCCCCCCATCCTCCACATAGCACTCTGTCCTTCAGTGGGAGCAGGCTTGGGACCTAAATACAATTTTCGTTGGAGAAGATATTTTGAGTTTAGAGAAAGTGAGGGACCAGCCTAGAGGAAGCACAGGGCTCATTGTAACAGCCATCTGGAGAGCCCGTGGAGGTGAGGAGAGCTTTCCAGGATTGACGCTGCATTTCTGTACACTCCAAATCGTGGAATAAGTCAGTTTTCCAATAATATTTTGGGGTCTCAGCAGTGGCGAATGGACCATTCACTAGAATTAGGGGAAGAAAATGAATCAAGGAAAACAACCTACAGGAGCAACAGTTGTTTCCAAGACCTTATTCTGTTAGGAACAAGCAGTGCTTTTGCTATAACTGACTGCTGTGTTCATCCATTGTTTCAGTGCCACATCTCACAGTGTTGTGCTCTGTTGCTTCCTGCACCTGCCCCCCATTCAGACTGTGGCTGGACACTTAAGATGTTTCCTATGGCAGCAGCTCTACGCTTGTGGAGGAAGGGAGTGTGACTCTGTGTGTATGGGTGTTAACACTGCCTGTCAATTATAGAATATCAGGGTTGGAAGGGACCTCAGGAAGTCATCTAGTCCAACCCCCTCCTCAAAGCAGGACCAATCCCCAGACAGATTTTTACCCAGATCCCTAAATGGCCCCCTCAAGGATTGAACTCATAACCCTGGGTATAGCAGGCCAATGCTCAAACCACTGAGCTATCCCTCCCCCTGATCTTGGAGACAGTCAGAAATCTCATGAATAAGATTCTAGAGTGGAACAAACTTGCCAATAATATTTATGATAATTACTCATGCTAACATGTGTATAGCACCTTCCTCCTGAAGGGTGCCACAAAGAAGGAAGAATAGGCTTGTGGTGAAGCCCCCAGACTGAGCCTTAGGCTGCATTCAGTTCCCAGCTTTGTTGCAAACTCCCTGGGTAAGTCACTTAAACCTATCTGTGCCTCAGTTCCCCATGGAAGAATCTTTCCTTTCCCCCTCCCTTTGTTTAGATTGTAAGCTCTCCAGGGCAGGGATTGTCTCTTGTTATGTTTGCACAGTGCCTGGCACTATGGGGCCTTGATCTTGGCTGAGGTCTCTAGATATCCTTTAGATATTATGAGAAATTTTCTAACTATCAGCATACTTAAGCTCTGGAACAGGCTGCCAAGGGAGGTTGTGGAATCCGCATCAGTGGAGGTTTTTAAGAACAAGTTGGACAAATACCTGTCAACAATGGTTTAGGTATACTTGGTCCTGCCTCAGAGCAGGGGGCTGGACTTGATGACCTCTCATGGTCCCTTCCTGCCCTACATTTCTACAGTTCTATGAAACTATAAGAGAAATAACTTGCAAAAATCTCTTTTAACCATGAAAAGTCTGGCTTCTGTGTAGCTAGGAAGTGCAGCAGTATTTCAGTACATTATAAGCAAAAAAACAGACAACAGCAGTTTGCAAAGTAATCAAGGGTTCCTTTAATTAACAACGATAGACTTCAGAAGCATTCAAGCCAAAACGTTGCAAGAAATAAATTATAATAATTAGATGTCTACAGAATGGTACCTTGCCAGATCCATCCTGTGGTTGATTACTGATTAAGTGTATAAACACTAATCGTGACCTATAGATATACTTTTCAATTAATTGTCTTTATAAATGATTTTTAAAATGACGAAGTAATTGGTTTGCAAGAAGTGCTGCAGTTACTGAGAGTAATTATTGAGAAGTGGCATTAGTCCAAAGCATGTCATCTCTGCCTGAATAAAGGGTTGTTATCCAGAGGAAATGTATATAGGTACAGCACCCCTCTCTGCTCAGGACAGTGTTAAACGTCAAGTGTGCACTGTTATTTCTCCACATTTTGCCTTAGGGTTACAAAGCTTCCAACGTGCTGCTGATTCCACAAGGGCTCGCCCAGTCTGACAGAGAGGGTTTAGTCCACAGGAAGGTAGGTCTCTATTGATTTAGTGAAATCCTGGGGCACACTAGCTTACACAATGCCCTCGCTCCGCTTGCTCCGCCACACCACCAGCGCCGTCATGAGCAGGGTGATGAGGATGGGGACCACAAGGAACGGGTATAGGATGTTGTTCGGTGGGTCGCGTAGAGACCTCCCAGAGATGGAGCAATTTTTGAAATAGTGCTTGTGAATGGCTATGAAGAACTCGTCCACCAGCTGGTTCGGCCAATAGCAAGCCAGTTTCTCGGCTATCAGTGAGGTGCAGTTGATGAGCTCGCCGTAGGAGCTGGAAAAGAAGAAGGCATTAGTTAGAAAGCTAGATGAGTTCAGAGCTGTCATTCACCAAACAAAGTGAGCTAAAACCCCTCCGGGCTTGCTCTTTAGAGATGCTCAGCACCAGGGCCGGCTCTGGCTTTTTTGCCGCCCTAGGCAAAAAGGCCTCCGGCCGCCCCCCCCCCCCCCCC